GCTTGCTGAAGAGTGTCGAGAGCTTGCAAACACCTTTACTGCACATGATCAAGAGCGGCAAAAAAGCATTCGCGCCCGCACTACTGCGCCCACGTTCCTCCCTGGAGCACTCGTCTGGCTCTCGATCCCTACTACTGCAACTGGCCTATCTTCAAAACTATTGCCCAAATACGAAGGCCCTTAACCATGTCGTCAAATGCACTTCCCCTGTCAACTACCTGATTGAACCCATCGAACCATCTTCGGACAAGCGCCGTCGAGGCCGCGACATTGTTAACGCGGAGCGCCTCAAGGCCTACCATGACCCGCTCATTGTAACCAGCTGTTAGGTCGCCAGGCGGCTCCCTTTTCGTACCCGGGGTAGTTGTGGCAAAGCCTTCGAACATAGGTTCGTCCTCTCCAACGCGTTCTAGTGGGTCGCCCTTTTCATAAGAAGAAGAGCAGCTCGTGCAGAGAGTCTGTCCCCGCATTGACTGTCGCTGTCGTGAATGATCGCTGAGTGTCCGCCAATAAACGTCTTAACAATATATATATATATATATATATATATTATATATATATATAGTTATAAACTTCGAGAATAGTGCAGTATAGGAAACAAAAGAATAAAATAATTATTTAATTCTAACAGTTTCGGCTGGTGGACCAGCCTTCTTCGGAGGATGTAAGGCACTCACTTACATCCTCCGAAGAAGGCTGGTCCACCAGCCGAAACTGTTAAGGATTAAATAAATATTTTATTGTTTTGTTTTCTATACTGCACTATTCTCGAAGTTTATAACTTTTATGACGGTAGCCGGAAGAAAATCTGATCATCTATTTCATCTCTCTCTCTCCCTTTCTCTCTCTCTCTCTCTCTCTCTCTCTCTCTCTAATATTAATATATATATATATATATATATATATATATATATATATATATATATATATATATATATATATATATATATATATATATATATATATATATATATATATATATTTATATGTAATGTGTTTGTGTTTACTGTGTACATATACAAGGAAGGTAAATTTCTCAAAACAAGATACACCACTGCCTGTCTACACTTTTTTTGACGCTTACAGATAGAACTACACTTATAATACAAAACATCGTCATAAACTTGCTCGCTTGCAATGGCGTATAGCCTATAGAATATTTGGAAAGCAGCACAATTTAAGCTGTAAATACAAAATGAGAACCGGTTACAATGAATTTACGCAGATTAACAGATGGGCTATATATACAATTGGCACTTTTTATGTGTTTGAGTGTTGTTTTTAATAAGAATAATATGCAGTAAGCCTTTCAGAAAGCAATAATTATTATGTTCCTCAAAGCTGGCATCATAAAAAAGAGTCGTCACCAATTAATGTTGTGAGCTAGGCGGATCCGTGCAAACTTCAATTGACTTTTTTTTTCTGGGTCGGCAGGCTCTTGAAGGAGTGAATGTATCGACGCAATTTCGGCGTGCCTGAATATTTACTCGTGCAGCATGGCGCGTAGCAGGTGCATCCACTGATAAAGGCTCAGAAACGCATTAAACGCGCTGAAAACGAGCAATTACATGCTTCCGCAGGCTCGGGCGCGCGCGCCCTGGAGTTTCCGAATATACACTAGAGGGAACTCTGGCGCTAGTGTCTATGAGAGCTACAACGCATGGCAGTTCAGCGAGCATGGGAATGATGTGTAGTACAAACGTTTGTCTAATCTTCGTACTTCAGGCCTTGTTTTGGCTCCGTGTGTGTTCGTGTGGCTTGAAGCTGTTTTCTCATGAAACCAAAATCAGCAAACGCTCAGTGGTTGCGCTTCACCACCTTATTTTTGTAGACTTACCTTTCCAAATCGGGTCACGAAATTCAAAAGGGTTGAATCTTTTTTTCAAAACAAAACCGAAACACAGCAATAAACAAAGCCGCAAGTACGATTTGCCGCCCGCAAGTACGAAGACTAGGCAAATGTGTGTACTACCCATCACTCCCACGGTCGTTGAGCGATCGCAGCGACAGAGTCCCCTCTAGTTAATTTTAGAAAACTCTATGGCGCGCGCTTCCAATGCAGACGCTCCCGCGATTTTCAGTGCCATGGAACTACAGCGCCACCGCTGCTGTCACCCGCCGGAGAATCAGCCGAGATAAGGCGCGGCCGCCTCGTTCACTCCACTGCCCCCTTCTAGTACACTGTAACGTTAAGAAACACGTGCTGCAGTCGTATCTATAGGCACTGCACTGTGCTCCCGACCGGGCTGCAGAAATTGGGTGCCTTTCTCCTATTCTAACCACTACCACCACTAGTCATTTCTATTTCTATCGCCGCTGGTAACACTCTAGCTCCCGTTTCCAGTATTTGTGTCTTTTATGCGTAATCTCTCCGTGCGTCGGAATTAAAAAGGAGCTTTTATTGCCTTGTTTTTCCCTACATCCTTTACTCATAAGGGGAACTTCCTTTTCTCACGTCACATTTATCTTCAAAGCAGGCAAGAGCTTGACCAGCAGCTGCTAAACCTATTATAATGGCATAATTTGCGCTCGAAATTGTTAGCTTGCGTCGACATCAATCAAACGAGTTTTATTTCTGCAGCGCAAATGTTTTACAAAAGCTGGTAAAAATTGGTGAGTTAATAACTTGGGGCCCCGCAGTTATGCTCGAGTTTGTGATTCAGTACCAAGGCAAGATAGCACGGTTCTGGAAGCTGGATCGTCTAGAGCAGGGCTGGACAACTTGCGGCCCGCGAGGTAGTATTATGTGTCCTCAGAAATGACGTCGAGCTCCCCTCCCTTTCCCGTATCACTTGCCGTCTGAAGGCTGAGATAGTAGTTTTGGACTAATGAGATTTTCGCTCACATAGTATGATTGTAAATGTGTAATATGCGTGCTGAAGAGATACAATTTTCACTCAGATTTGTACATTATCGTCAATTCGTTGAATTTTTTTTCCGTTCATGTCCAAAGCCTCCTTGCCGCTTCGAATTACCATGCGGCCCACCGCTGTGTTGGCTCCATTAAACTAGGCCCTCCACAAAAGGTAGCCGACCGCTGGTTTTGAGACTTTGTAGTGAACAGATATGAATCATACGACACTAGAATTTACGAATGAGGTAAAACTGTAGCGACGCTACAGAGGCGCCGACTTCGATTCAAGCCGACCAATTGCGATAACGCGGGTAAACTCGACGGCGCGGATTCAAGTCCCGGCTATGGCGGCGGTGCTTGGATAGCGGCGAAAGAAACACTCGTGTACCTAAAATTTAGGTTCAAACCTAAGAACACCAGGTAGTCAAGGTGCAACATTACGGCAAGTCTCACAGTCCAATCGTGGTTTTGATGTACGCCAAACACCAAGAAGTTACGGTATCAGCCGAAGCGGTCACATTCAAGTGCCACTATGAATGCGTCGATTTAGCGCCAGTGAAACAAACACAAACATAAGGCACTAAGAACAAATACTGCTGCGACGGAAGAAAGGAACAAGAGCGAATTCAAGGGAAGATATGTCAACCACTGCGGAAATACTGATGTGCTACCCTGCACTAAGGAAATAGATGGCGAAGTCTGAAAGGTAGACGCAGGGATTAAGGGAGAAATAAGCAGCACTCACGCACAAAGTGAGCACACGCCTCACAGTATTGATATAGTCATTGATTTATAACAGCCTGCGCAAGTCTGATATCTTCTTGAATTCGAGAACTGCCTTCATCCGTGATGACATCGCAGGACAACATGCTAAAATGGTTTCTGCCATCATCTCTCTGGAGTCTACGCGAGATAGAGCGACCGTGAGTGGTTGTCTCTGCATGTTGTAGTCGTGGCAGTAGCAGGTGTGCTGTTAAGTCTCCTCGCTACCATAGTTGCAAAAACAAATAGGTCTAGTGTGATATGCAAGATCGTCAAAGCTAACCCCCCAATACACGACCTCATACCCTATTATGATTGTTGCACGTAACACACTAGAGAGAGAGAGAGAGAGAGAGAGAGAGAGAGAGAGAGAGAGAGATGAGATGCGGAAAACCCGGGAGGTGAACCAAAAAGCAAGTATCCGGTTTTCTACCCTGGATTGGATAAGGCGTTAGGGAGACAGAAAGTAAGGAAGAATGAATGATGAAGGGAGGGAAGCGGAAACACACAAGCACTGGGATGTCACAATTGTTCGACGAGGCACGTCGCTCACAGAAACTTCAACAGCGGGTTTGTCACTTTGCGCCTCGATCTTTCGGCATTCCAAAATTAATTTTTCAGAAAGCGGCACATATTGACAGCCTAGGTCGCTTTCACGTGCGCCAAAATCTGATTAGACGGCCTTGTGGGCTCCTATTTCGGCCCCATCGAAAATCATCCTCTGGTAGAAAATCAAACCCTGAGCAGCGCAAGTCTTTAAATTTATTTGCACTGCTTTAGCATTGTGTTTATGAACGCATAATCAGTGGAAAATATTATTCGCAATAGTTGAAGGTCAGCTTACGTGTCTTGTTGAACAATTATGATATTACTGTGTTAGTGTTTCTACTTATTTCCTTCCCGGCTGCGGCGGCTGCATTCTCGATGGAGGCAGAAATGCTGTAGGCCAGTGTGCTCAGATTTGTGTGCTCGTTAGAGAACCCTAGGAGGTCAGCATTTCCGGAGCCCTTCACTACGTCATCTCCCATAATCATATGGTGCTTTCGGGACGTTAAGCCCCACATATCAATCAAATCAATTACTTATCTATTTCCATCCCTCGTTCTTCTCTTTTTTTCGGCTTCTCTTTGCCCCTTACCCGGTTTATAGTGGCAAACCAGAGATTTATCTTCTGGTTGAACTCCCTGCCTTCCCTCATCACATTTATCTCTTTCTATATCCCTTAATGAAATGTCTTCAGGATGCAGCAGGAACTCGACAGAAACTAGGTGAAAACAAAATCGCTCCGACAAATCTTTCTGCACAGCCCGAGCGCGTTCGTTGTAACCGTCTAAAAGGAGGCACTGACAGAACGCAGAGGACAAAATGGGACATGGCCACTCACATTCAACTTTCCTTGGCAGATGGCCTCGTGCAGACGCTCCTTGGCGCCGAGGAAAGGCAGCGTGCCCGTGAGCAGGACGTAGAGCAGGACGCCGCAGCTCCAGACGTCGGCAGGCTTGCCGTAGGGCTTCCGCTCCACCACCTCCGGGGCCATGAAGTGCGGAGTGCCGATGCGACCTGTGTACGCCAATCACGGGTGGCCGCACATAGCGCTTGGTGTGCAGCGCTCCCCCAACGCAGCATCCGCAACGTTAACACACATCAACCGAGGATTAACGTTGAAGCGTCTTGTTTGTCGCTTAGCGAGAGCGTGAAAAATGTGAGAGCGATTTATAGACGGTGTAAGAGTGAGATTAAATAAGATTGTATCGTAGCAAACGTGAGTAAACACGGGGTGGGTGCGAGTTTGTGAGCTAACAGGATGTTCAGTAAATACGTGTTTATAAGAAGGTATGCTTCCGAGTGAACTAATTGGCGTTGAGAAAAATATTGTAGTGCGCGGGAAGGGTATGGCAACTGCCTTTTGTTTTGTAAGTAAGCAAGATAATAAGCATGGCAACCCGCGAGAACTACTCAAATGTCTCTTCCCTGCCCTTCCCTCATAGGGATTGAACATAAAATATTTAAAGCTTCCATCCTTCAATCCTACCATGATTGATATTATATAATTATCTTGCGTGGGAAAACTCCTGGCGGCGAAAGCTCTAAATGTTGATGTTTCAAGGCCGTGTGAAATCAAAAACATACGAAAGAAAAAAAAAGGAAGTGAGCGCGCCTGCTGCACGTGTGCTTCGTTCCCTCAATCTTTTCCGCGTTCACGTGAGCAAAAAAAAAAAAAACATTAAAAAGCCCGTAAGTGCGATGACGGAAGGCAACTCGGGCTTTATCTTAAAGTGGTGCTGAACTTCTCATCTGCGTTGCCCTCTATGATGAACACTCTGATGTGCTGCTGATGCTGGCTATAGGTGACAATGCACCAAGCCCTGAACACGGAAGGGTAACGTGTAGAGTTCACGCCACGGCAGAAGGGGCTAGGGCAATTTGATATGCCACCCGCTGTAAGAACCGTCGCGAATCTATTACGGCAGCTGCGAAGGAAGCTGTTAAAGTGGCTGGACGAGAGGAACAAGCCACCTTACTGCGACCGATGCGGTTTGTGTAGTGGAGTTGCATCACACATAGTTTGAATAGAAGACACACGTAAACAATACGATTGGCGCGGTCCACGTTTTGTGCAACTTAATTGTGAGAAAACATCTTGACAGACGCGATGAAACAGTACAGTCGACGTGCTCCGAGAAGATGGTCTCCTAATACAGAAAAAGTGGTATGAGAGCTAACATAAGCCGTTTAATGCACGTGATAGAAGTATCGACTCTGTCAGAACGTAAACGATACCTGAACATTCTAAAAGTGTCAATGAAACAGTTCACGTATTTCAGCACAATGTATATGATGGTCAATGAGTAGCTCCTTGGGAGCATAAGTTAATGTTTGACCAAATGTAAATACGAAGTTAGATAGAAAGACCACCAACCACTACAACGCTCCACAGAACATCAGCACCAACTTGAAAATAAACTTCGACACCGCATCATCAAAAAGTTCGACAGGAGAGCAACAGAGGGTGCAGCTGAGTTCTTGCCTTAAAATTTTTTTTAAAAGTGTTATGCACTTTCCGTAGAGTTCTTCTTTAATATAGTAAGATACATTTAAGACAGCCAGAGCAGTTATCAATGATTAAAAAAGGGCACTCCAACAAACTTTCGCTTAGAGCAACATGTGCTCTCGTAGATAACAGAAATTTCAGTTTTGCCAACACAGCACACAACTTTACTCAGTTTGCCGCTCTGAATAAAGAATACACACATTTGACTCACTGTTGAAACATCTGTGCATCTCTCTTCTAGCGTCAGACTTTCATTACTATTTTGCATGGCATTTCCTCTGTTATTTAGTAGGTGAATTACTCAGAATATTGTGACAAATAAACTGTCTACATTTTTTTCAAGTTATCTAGGCAAAAGAGAGCTTCGCCACAGCTTGAGTACAATGCAAGAGCACTCATGAAAAAAAAATATTGACACAAAGTAGAACGACGAAGTTAAGGTATTTTGCAACGTACTCGCTTTCGTCTTATAATGTACTCTTTTTTTCTTTTTTTTCATTAATAAACAGGTGCGAAAACGCTTGACAACACACTTGCCGAAGGCACCCACATGCATGAAACGTGTTTCTATACGTTTAAGAACTATCCTACCATGCTGGTACTTATCCTCAGTACAAATGTTAAGTACTTGGCCGAGCGCTTTGACGTTGCAGGCACCCGAAAAGCACTCAACCTCAAACCGAAACGTTGGTGAAAGCCTCATCACACTTTAACACAATCTTGTACACAAGCTGAAACGTGCGTAAATTGAAATGAAAAAGTTAACATTTGTAATGCCGTTTCTTGCTGCTTCCAGGCGATGGTACTTGAGGAAAAAATATATTACAAAACGATCTTCGGGTATAGGGTTCAACCGACGTAGGCATACACGTAAACTTAAAACGTGTCACCTCATTCGGGGGCTTTGTATCCAGGCATTCATTTTTCTTCGCAAGGTGACACATTCCCGCGTTAAGCAAGAAGCAGTACCGAAAAACATCGACAAAATACGTCAGGCTGTTCACCGATCATCTCAAGAATAAACACTGCAGTAACGAAGGATAGGGAATAGACAAGGTGCAAACTGAAAGTGCAAAATAATAATACTAATATGCATGCACAGTCAATGCTCGAATGCACAGTATTGTTGCGCTCAAACAGGCACCTGTTTCCGCACGGCAAGTGGGCATGCAAGAAGATAGAGGAAAGTTATTGTGATGACTATGCTATGTCCCGGGTGGGCTACGTCATACTGATGGGTTATAGAGGAGGGAGAGAGAAAGAAAGGAGATAGGATATGAAAAAAATGGCCCACAGCTGGCAGCTTGTCTTACCTAGCAAGTCACATTTGCAGTATAGCCGACATGCAAGGCTTAGGTTTTCCCCGTACATAGAAATCTCTTTTTCTGCAGAGAACAGGGGAGGAGAAATGGCGACGTGAAAAGAGAGGCCGAAGGTCAAATCGGTGAGAAGAAGGGCGAGACAGTGTGCTAGGACAGTGACCGGAAATTCATCTCGCTCATGTCTGCTGCCACGCATCGGGAACGTGGGCGAGCTTCAAAAAAAGCAAAAAAAAAAAGGAAAACGAACAGCAAGAGTAAAAACAAAATGGTTTTCTCTGGTAAGAAGAAGATCGAGAGTGATATAGAAGAAAAAAGAAACTAGCACAAGTCAGCACTTGCCACTCTCGGGAGAAATTCAAACCCCGTGTTCGAACCAGGAAAAATATATTTTCCTTGAAGAAAAAAAAAAACTGTGGCGTATTTTGTCTTCACTCGACCCAGCTACCAACAAAGAGCAACTTCTCAGTCCTGACACCACCGTTCTGTCATACGAATATCAGCAACACACTTTACGTTTGGCTGAAAATAGAAAAAATAAAGCCCCCAAAACAGGCTGTAATACCGGCGTAGTGCTTCGAAATTTTAGAGTAGAGCAGCAGCGTTTCTTTGTGTGAAAGCTGCGTCATAACACAAATGTTCGCGCGAGAAATTATTCTCAAACAAATGATAACGATGGTGAGGAGATACTTTCTGAATTTTCAGGCAAGCGAAGCTAGAACGGTTCGATTTCTTTTTTATTTCGCATGGCAAGTGGATTCGTGCCAGAATATCAAGAAATGCACACAGCGCACATCAATGCAGCACAACAACCAAGCATCAAATATTCAAGACAGCGGCTTTTTGTTTTGTACTTTGCTAAAGACAGTTTCTTATTTCTGTTCGCTCAAATCAAAACGCTTCCAAGTGCTTTTGTCTTGAACATGTTCAAGAGACAGCCTTGGCAATCCTTTTCGGCCTACACACGATGCGTATATTGTTTAGTGCCTCTTCTTTATGTAAGTCGTCCAAATTCAGCAGAGTTTTGTTAAATAGCAGGCACTAATGCTTCAAAAACAACTTTTTTGGCAGCTATCGTGAGCTTTTTTTTTTTTTGATCATGGTAGCATTTCTACGATAACATGATGTGTATTCGTAGGAGTTATAGCAATGTGATTACAACCATGGGCACTCTAACAAAAGCACTTGGTAATGTTCACCACATGCAGGAATCATGCTATAAATGGTATGCGAAGTGCCATTTGTGCGAAAGTGCATATTTTGCAAGAAACGTTCGAGTAAGTGTCAGCGTACTTAGCGATGCATTTATTGAGTGCTCAGTGATGTTTATGCGAGAATTTAACAGATGTTGAGACATTCCGCAAGTATAATGAAAGAAAAAAACACCCATTGCTCGAACACGTTTGTGCTGAACTCGCAACACTGTCATAATATCCTCGTAATTTTTTACCTTCTCATTTCTTTATGAGAGAAAAGATTTTGGCGCATGTTACTAAAATATTTTGCCACGATATACGTTGAAGCGTAGTATTGGTAGTACCTATATTATTGAAAATGAGTTGCCCGCATTTCGCACATTCATGCAAAGCTGCAAAAAAAAAGCTTCAAGGCGTGTCATATGACACCGACTCGTGAAAAAAAGCCAAGCAGTTTCAAGGCTGCACAAAAAGTGCATAGGTCACCTCGTGGAAAGCACCACGAACACTATGGCTTGTTTGCGAACACTTTAGCGACACATAGGTCATGCACAACGACATGTAAAGAGGCTGAAGATAAAACACTAAACGGCGTAAATTTTTAACGTATGCAGGAACGTCAGGCAGAATTTTCGCATACGCAAAGAAAAAAGAAGTCCGATGAATCATTACTGTATGCGGAAGTCGGGAACAAAAAGAGCAGACAACTACAACAAGATAAGAAAATGCCACACAGAAGTATCAAAAATGGCTCCAGATCGCCACTTAATATTTCCCTGTGTTTTTTTTCTTCTTGTGTCGTGTCTTGCTAAATCATTAGAATGACCCAGTTAGCCCCTCACACTATTCTGACTGACAAGAAAAAAAGGAACACATCACGCAATTCTTTATCATTTCACTTATTAGCTCTCTACATGGCACTGCGAAGTAAAAAATTACAAAACAGCCTCGCTAATAAACCATTCAATACCTCAGAGAGCACACGCATGGTTGACTCTCTAACGGTGACGTTAAAGAACGCCCGCTAAATTCAATTTGCTGACGCTGAGCAAATATAAGGTTCTTCGTTCACTCAACTTAGGACTAAGTGAGCCGACAGGTAAAGTGGACGCCGAGCGTGTGATAATTTCACACTGGTATGCCTGCTGCCGTATAATTTGCATGGCAGGTGGAGTATTCCTAAGTGAAACACACTTCCCAGCAGCTTAATCTGAGCAAACTGTGCAGAATCTCCTAAGTGCGTAGCTTGCGAATCTTCAAGCGCACACAGGGCACTTTCGCGTCAAACAACAGACCTAATTAAATACTATTTCAGCTAACAACGTAGAAATCAGGATGGCAGGTTGATTGAAAGAGGGACCAGCCTGCGCGGTCTAGACTCAGACAGACGCCACCTATGAGTCAAGACCATCTAGGCTCAGAAAGACGGCAATGCTCTTAATAACACAGACAGCTACAGCAGTAGTCACAAAAGGAACCCTTAAAGGTTTCTGGGGTGGCACTCTCAGTGACGGGTATCCTACAGGTGTGGTTAACCCGGAGGACCTGGCGTGCAACTGAATTAGCTGAGCGGGTCTTTCTGTGCAACTGTGCAAAAAGGTAAGAATAGAATGCCAGCCCCTTCAATGGAACATTATCTGCTGACCGTTTGAAAACCTGGAACATTGGGGAAACCAGTCTTGTTACTATGACATTCATGATGTCCATGTATCAACTCATCAGAACGCCTTCATGCAGTTTTTACGTAGAATGAAGCTTTCCTATCCACAAAATCCATTGCAGCGGGTGGTATTTCGAACAATTCACATATTGCCTCTACACGAAATGAACAAAAAACTTAGTTGATACAATATTCGTACCTGCGGAGCAGATGTAGTCATACTCGAGTTGAATGGCGGCCCCGAATCCTCCCAGCTTCACAGGCGCCGAATTCTCTTCGGTAGCGAGTAGAACACAATGGGGCTTGATGTCTCGGTGGATTATGTCGTTTTCGTGACAGTACCGCAGTGCCTCCAGGATTTGTCGCATGTAGTGGCTGTGGCCGGTGAAGTAGCACGGACAGCGAGATGGATTATATGAACAGGCCACAAACCAAGAACGTCAGAAGCTTAGGCTAGTCGGTAAGAATTAGCCAATATAACACCTGGCCACAAGAGAACTGAACAACAAAACACAAACTTCGTGTGTTTTGGTCTGACGTGTATGTTCTGAAAAAGGCCGCTCCCCGGCAGCAACGTAAGCAATAAAACATCGTGTTTCGTTCACTCGTCCACTTCACTTGAGAACACACACAAACACAAACCTGCACCCCCCCCCCCCACACACACACAGATATATATATATATATATATATATATATATATATATATATATATATATATATATATATATATATATATATATATATATATATATATATATATAAATTGAGATCTAACAGACAATAATGCCAAGGAATGTATAGGGGAAGTTATTAGAACCAATTTAATGCCAATAGGAAGAAAGAAAAGTGGGCGAAAAAACAACTTGCCGTTTACGACCTTTGAATAACGCGTTCGATGCTTCGAACACGTTATTAGAAGGTCGTAGGTTCGACAAAAACACATAAAAACAGTGCCAAAAGTGTACCTGGAGCGGCCGTGTTTTCTTACACCAGCGTTTTGTAGAGTTACGTGAGATCGGATCTACATCAGTTGACTGCCAACTTCACTTCGTAAATCAACGCCGTTCCTACGCACGGGTCTTGTTTTATTCATCTACTGTGGTCGCGCCGCAGGAAACTTGGTTGCTTAGCAAGTCCTTTGATTATTATTATTATTATTATTATTATTATTATTGCTCCTAAATATGCTTGCCTTGCTTCGTAAAACATTCGAATACGATGCCATCGCAATCATTGCTCTGCCCTTTTGGCGAAACTGACTTTTTTCTCTTTTCTCTCTCTCTTCACAACATCTCCTTTCTATAATATTTTACTCCCCTTTCCCTGCATAGGGTAGTCACCCGGTCTAATAATTAGCTAACCTCTCTGTACTTCCACTTATTTCTTTCCCCGCGGCCTCTTCCTTCGCCTTTCTGTGAAACATGCGGCTATAACTCTGGAGTCGCTATTGCATTTCTTGCTTGCGTGGAAGCTTCCGCATCTCCCAAGTTGCCTATTCTGAATGACCGGGGCAGTATTAAGAACAATACGCTTCAGCGGCTGTTATGCAACTAAGCTGTTTCTAGACTGAGTACACGCTCAAGCGAGGATGGAGGTTTTAGTAGATGAGATATAGTTGAACAAGAAGTTCCACTGGAGCCAATGTTTTCATAAGCAGTCTTGACTGCTTTGAGATACCAACCTTGAAGACGACAAGACCTTTAGCAAAAAGTTTGGCGCCCCAGCGATAGACCAGTTCAATGACTTTCAATCTCTCTAGATGGAATATAGGCCAGTGTATAGAGTGTATATAGGCTAGTGTGTATAGGCCAGTGTATATAGTGTATAGGCAGTGTATATAGGCCAGTGTCTTCCCTCGAGGGAAGACACAGCCTACTTGCCTAGAAACCTCATAATGAATAAATGTTTCACTACTACTAGTGGATATACGTATTGTGAAACCGAGAAATCATTATGAATCAGCACCTAATGAAAAATATGATTAGTGCCATAGCATGGGTAGAGGCTTTCGTACTTACCGGCCTATTCAAGATAGTGTAATTATCTAATCAATCAACCCCTTTTCCATTTCTCACACGTCCACTCGTTGTCTCCACTCTTGTTTCGTGTTTTCCCTCCACCTTTACCTTGTTTAAAATTTATGGTATTAGACCAGGCGCTTTAAATCCTGTTAACCTTGCTGCCTTTGCATTGAGCGTGTCTTTTGCTTCCACTCAACATTTTGGGTCTCGCAGTGAGCCCTGCTTTCTAGTTACTGATAATTCGCTAATTGTTTACATGGACGCGCATATGAGACAGCAAATCGTACTTTGATCCTACTCACCATCGTGAGTTGTGGCCCGTGCGACTATGGGCGAGTAACGTGTGAAAAAAATAAAATAAATGGCTTTAAGGATACTGAATCTTAGAGAAACATTGAAGTGACAGCCCTTCTTCTGTTGTATTTCACCTCACTAAAGTTGACATAGTTGGCACGCATGCAATATCACAAATGCAGCAAAATAAAAATAGAATTTGGGGAAGTTTACCTGGCCACAGCTTCACTGTACACAAATCCAGCAGTCGCTCTTTTCACAATTTCAAAGCACAAGTCTGCCCCTTCCATACTGCAATGGACAAAAAAATCGTGTCATGTCAGTATTTCGAAGGTGAACTTTATCTACTCAAGCAAAGAGCCGTTGATGCGGAAAGGACAATTTCACCCCCGTTATGCCTGAACTTCGAGTACATATGAGATAACTACAGCACGCAAATGCATTTAGTATGTGTTATTATTAGCGGGACAGAGAACCACCTTCATATGTACATTTATTTTCTGAAAAGTTGGTTTTTTTTTCAAGAATACGTGCAAAACAATACTATACCATCCCACTAAGCTCAGTAAACAGAATAACTGTCATTTGTATGAGCACTGATTAAATTGTTAGCTTCATATCATTAAGGATATCGCTTAAAAAGTTAACATTCCGCAGGAAACCGCAAGCTATTCTTTAAATATTATAAAGAATGTTTTATGTACACAACAAATAGAAATTCATAAGGTGCAACTCTAAAGATACAAGTAACCTTTCCAAGACGTCCACCGGTTCAATCAGGGTTTGTTGTACCAGCCTAAAAGATTCGTTGCAAAAGGGCATCAAATGCCTGTCAATCATTACGGGAGATAACTTTCGCTTCTTCGAGCTACGGCTACTGTATTTCCAAAATATATAATAATGCTATGCCAGCGAGCTTCTTAAATATTATTCATAAGTACCCGACTACAAATATATAGGAATTTTACCAGCATTTAAGCCTCTTGGCGTTTGGTTTACGGAAAAGCTGCTGTGGCATGTGCATATAAATCACGCGTGTTCAGCTGTCTCGCGTTTTGTTGGGCTTTTATACCGCAAAACAGTTACTTTCTTTCAACTGATATAAAATTGTTGCTCTGCAAACTTTTGTTTTTGACCCAAGCGAAGTATTGTCAACTTGTATGGACACGGTCACGCATACAGCCTCAAAAAAGCTCCACGTGCTACAGAACGTGGAGCTTATTATCGATTAGCGATTATCTCTGGCTATGTGGTACACATCGTGTACCACATAGCCAGAGATAATCATTGCGCACGACTCCTCCAAGATGCTGATATCCCAACAGTTTTCAAAACTTATAACTTGCGCATTACTCTTTGCTATCAATATGAAATAAATAATAGTACTTCAATCCTGGCCGCTTTAGCTGAGTTAGCTGAATATTCTTCTCCGTATTCCTTATACGGTTCGTGAAAAAGTTTGAAATAAGAACACCACGCACAAACTACGGGGCCCAGGTAATAAGAATAACTTTGCTCTCTGAGTTAGACCTTTCATTGCAAAAAGGTTTTATATTTCATCTTGCAGGCCTGCGCTGCATTATTTATTCGTGAGACAACTGAAATGTCACTTTCGAGGTTTAATTTTATGTAGTAGCTTTTTTCTTTTTCTGTATTGTATTCCCTAAAAACATGTACGTGGACTGTTCTTTCAGTTACTATGTGTAAAAATAATGTATGCTTTTTGTGTGTTTATTTACTTGCGTACGCCAGTTTCTGTATGACGGCCCTGCTTGCTGAACTGTGACCAGCTGGCAGACCTGGTTAAGCTTACAAGGCACTTTTATTCCCATGCCCTCTACTTACTGAAGTGGAAACTAAAATGATTTATTTATTTATTTATTTATTTATTTATTTATTTATTTATTTATTTATTTATTTATTTATTTATTTATTTAATAAACTATGCGCAGTGAAGAGTGACATTGAAACTCCTGCATGATATATTACGCAAGATTTGCAAGTCATGTACTTACTATTCGAATACCATGTAGAGCATTCCCTCCGAGCTGTATGTTTCTAAAAGTTCAACAATGTGCGGATGTTTGAGCATGTGGCAGATGGTGGCTTCTCGCTTTAGGTCTGTCGAGAAACAAGAAACAGCACAAGAATAGAAATAAGTCATATGCCTACAGTGCATGGGTCTGTGAACTAAGACCCAATTTTCTAGGTGAGCACGACGTACTCAAACGTCACAGAATCAGGTCGAACACGAGCAGTGCGTCAGACTATAGTTATAGCGCGAGAACGGAACGACGACACAGAGACAAGAAGGACACGAAGAACTCTGTGTCGTCATTCTGTTCTCGCTCTATAACTATCGTCATGTCATACCAACTAGCGCAAGCTACCACACTTAAGTGCATCAGAGACACGAATGTAGTAGCGTGACTTGCTCCAATATATCTAAATAAAGAAAGGCGTCAGAGTTCAGTTGGTTGCCTGAGTTCAGTTTGGCGAACGATTTTTTGGCAGCACTACAGTCAAGTGGCATTCAAAGTGAGCGATCGTAATGGTCCCTTTAACTTTTGTGAGCACTAACATATCACGAAGCTAAGGAAGGAATAAGATACATAGAGAACCTCATTATTTGTTGTTTCAAGTGCAGAGAAATTTAAGAGCTTGAGCTTTCGTAATTGTCATAGGTTTCTGTCATCTCTGTCACTTGGCGTAACGAAGACAAAATCATGCATAACATAACCACCTACACCGTAGTTACCCATAGCAAGGGGGTGGGAAAGGAGAGAGAACCCGAGTAGAAGAAGGAAAACAGGGGGAGAGAGAGAGACAGAAGAAAAGGAGCATGCTGTCATGGCATGCTGCGATCCCGTGCATATGCTTAGCGTCACGCATGCAGAGAAAAACCGCGCACAGCATAGATATGTATGGCAAAAAGGCGGGAAGAGGAAGCGAGGTTAAGCAATTATGTGAGAGTAAGGAGGATGGAAAGGAGTAAGAGAGAGGGTAAAGCGTAGAACAGCCACGTGTGGCCTCCCGCCGAAAAAAATACGCAAAACATAGTCATGGCAGAGTAAGAGTGCCAGAAAGAAAAGTGAGACCGAGGGCAAAGAGAAGAAATATGGAAAAGAGTATAGCATAGCCATGAATAGCGTGATATAGCAAAAGTGCGTCAAAGAAAAGTGAAGATAAGAAGAAGAAAAAGGAGGAGGTTAAGGCACAGCATAGTCAGGTATGCAGCCTGGCACACGCATTCCTCCGCATCGATGAGATCCATCGCACAACATCTGGGCCACGCGGGTGTGTCTTGGTGGAATACGCCATATCTACGAAGTGAATGATGATGAAGGAGCTTGCTCCAGAGATTAAATCCAGTAAACCGTGACATCCGCTCGACCATCATAAAAAGACGTGACAGGGGAAGCGTGGTGCTGTTGTATGTACGCATTCTATACAAAATGATTTATAATGTACGTATCGATGCAGTAAGTACACATTTTAGGTATTAGCGTAATTATTTCCATACTAATTTACGGACCACAATGGTTTCCTGATTGTTGTTATTTATATGATATAAAGCTCAGGGGAATGTTCCCCTTTGAGGATAAAGGCCTTGTGGTCCGTGAAGTACAAAGTCAGAGGATCTTGTTGTTGGACGCCGTGGGAAGATCGACACCACGATGTCTTACAAGTTTTTCGGATGATAGTGGGACGTTTGTAATCGTACGAACTGCATGACATCGCAACGCACTATCGTGTGTTGGACTAACTAGTCGTCGCACGCTGAGAGCGTGCGCTTTATATAGGCGTGGCCCCCTTGCGGTCTACTATCAAACAAAAGCACGCAAAATCCAGTGAGCGCTCTTGGAATCGACGGTTGGCACAGCTGCGTCTCTAGCGAGAGCAATGGCCACTAGCGGCTAAGGTTATAGACGAGCCCAGAGCGATAGTAGCAAGCTCCAAAAAGTAGTTATGGTTACAACGGAAGCCAGAAAAAAACGACACACTTGTACATATGAAGCACCGCTGTACCCGCGGTAGATATTGAAAATCTTGTTTTTAACTGACTGTAACTTTAGAGCCCATCACGAGACACGCCACGCAGCAGTGGCGAATACGTGCCTTCGGTGCCGAGTCCAGGACAGGAGGTGAACTTGGCGACGTCGACGACTTTGACGGCGAACTGCTGGCCCGTCGTTTTGTGAACACAACGGCGAACCACACTGAAGGGGCCCCTGCGCAGGAGGAAAAGAAAGGCAAAGAAACACTCACATGAGAAAGGGAACGATTAACGCGTACGTGGTCTATATCAATAGAAAAACCAAATACGAAAGTGATTGATGGATTTATTGACTTATTGATCGATTGATAAATCTGTAATAAAGACGTCTTGGAGCCAACATTTTCTAGAACGCTTAATTAGCCAATCATTGCGCATAAATCACATCAGCATCGTCGGGAATGGACGAATAGTCAGACCGACAAAACGGGAACTAAAACATGCAAAAATATTTATAACATTCACTTCACGGCAATAACACCATCGACAAGCGGTGGCCCAGGTATGTGGGAACAGTCAACCACCTCTAGTTTTGTTTTCCCCGTAGTGACAAGATGCTGTCAACACAAATCACGTGTCAAGATGGCACCTCCGCGTGCGTCTGCGATGTGAACAGCTTTAGAACGTTAACCCCAGCTGCACACGTGGTATCCGCTTACCTAGTGAAGCATGACAAGCCATGTTTTAGCGCGTCACAATGCGTGTTCAGCGGCGTTATTGCAGTAGAGGACTCTAAAAACCAAACGATCGTCATGGCTCAAGGTAGGCGGCCTGTACCACCTTAGCCTTGTACATTTTGTTGGATTTAGTTACGATACTTGCAACCCTCTCAATGATGCCATAGTATTCCTCTGTGTTGCCAGCGATATTCTTGTGTATGATGAACTCCACCCCCAGTAATTTTCTGTCAACTAAACCATGGTAGCAAAGGACGTCTCCCTTCTTCAGCACTGTTTAAGCCTCACGTAACTTTTTAACTTCGCTGAGCCCTATTAAATTCCATTTAACACCCTCTAATTTGTCGAATAGTACAGCTAGACTAGCTTCACTAGATTGCGTTCTAGCGTTCAACGTAGCCAAGTTAAGATTCTGATGGCGGCCTTTCCGGACCCAGATATTCTTAGATCATTTGGTTAAATGCTTCTATGAAGACCTAGAGTCAGCCATTAATAAGGTAAAGTCACAGCATATTATTCTGATGAGCGACTGCACGAAATTGGCCAAAGTAGGCAAGAAACAGGCTGAGAGAATTGTGACATCGGCTCCACAAATGCCAGAGTGGAATTATTAGTAGAGTTCGCAGAACGTAATTGTTTGCGGATTTTGAATACCTTCTTCAGAAAACGTCCTAACCGTCAGTGAATGTGGCGAAGTCCTAATGGCGAAACTGAAAATTAAATCGACATCATTCTCTGTGCCCACCCAGGCATTGTACAGGATGTACAAGGGATTGGGAAGATCCGATGCAGTGACGATACAATGGTAAGAGCTCGTATTTCCCTAGTTTTAAAAAATCAAAGACAAAAACTGATAGGCAAAAAGCCAATTATTGAACTGGCGGTGAGAGCACAAGGCCATGTTGATTGGCGTATCATGGGAGAGGCCTTTGCCCTGCAGTGGGCGCAGTCAGAATGATGATGATGATGATGGCTTATTTCGAAACGCTCACTGCGTAAGTGACATTGTACCGCATTAGAATGTTGTGACGGGCAAAGCATGAAACTTAAGTACATGTTATAGAAACTTGTTTGCACTCATGAAACTGCCAAGATCCTACCTTACTGAATGCAGGAAACCGCTATTGCGTGTGAGCCCAGTTTGAAACTACCGCGCTCAAACGAAGGTCTCAGCAAGCCGCGCTCTCTGCCGGCCGAGCAAAAGCATCGACCAGTGAAGCCTTCCCGATTACCCGATCGAGAGCGCCACCAACGCGTTTATATGTGAGTCTCGGCTGTGACCCTGAGTACTTCAGGAAAACTTCGCGGCCTGGGTGGCCTCGTTTCCTAGCGCCGTAGCTCTTCTTTACGTTCAGGGTCGTTCAAGGCAGCGCTTCGCGCGTGGCTTCGCGTTTTATCGCTAAGATGTCGCGGTCGTTAGGAGCGTCTGCTTCCCTTTAAACTCGGTAGGCGCTGGTGCGTTGAAATCCAAGCCGTCGTCATACACGCATAACATTGCAATGGTCTAGTATGTTTTTATGATAATGCGGCGGGGATACGTGAACTCACAGTGGTTTCAAGGTGTCATAATGCTCAGTTTCGATCTCAAAATATATTTCTGGTAATAGTGCTTTTCCGACGCCCAGAAAGAGTTCATTATAAAGAAAGTGCGTCTTATTTTTACTCATGTATTTAAAAGATCGACAAGCTTACAGGAAGTGATTTCAAGATGCAGTGCTCGTGGGATGAAACACGAAAACTTAGGGCAAAGCAATGCACGTAGTTTAGTTTCTTGCAGGGACACTCTGTGTCATATAGGCGTACTTCTGACTCAAGCGCTTGCACGACAGCGAACGTCACATTTAGCGACCAGATCAGCAGTGACACGACGCGGTTATCATAAGAATTCGCTCACAGTAGCAGTTAAACCAGAAAAACGAAACGATGCCACGTTCCTTTTCTTGAATACTGTAGTTTCGCCAAAGAAGACTTATGAGCAGATAATTGTCGCATCGCTTATCTACGACCATTACGAGAACCGCAGTGAAATGGTGGCTCAATAAGTGAATCACAGAGTATGGTTGTTCGTGCCAAAGATGACAAATTGCATTAATGGACAAGCAGTTCTCATTGCAATGCAAATTTGCGCACACTCACGTATTGGTTCGCGTGAGGGCAGAGGAGGAGGGAGAAGGCTGTTTAGCTCTACCTGCGTGCAATATCAAGACAACTCGCTAGTGCGCATATTGCTTCGAAAAGCACAGTCTTTTCCGAAAAGTGTACACGCCGAACGGAATATGGGTCGCGCTACGTTGTAATGTAATGACTATATTTTATGCTTGCTTACACTGGTTCCTTCCACGTTGAATTAGAGTTTGAAAGAAGAAGTGAATGGAAGAAGCCCGTAGCTTCATTTCGCTCTCTTCATTCAGTTATTATATTAAGTTCGGGATCTTTTTACACTGTGTGCGGTGGGTGGACTGTCTCCAGAGGGGCAGCTAAACATCGGTGAGTCGGAGTTTCACTACGCATCGCTATCGAAATTGCCCCTTAGCGGGCCCGTGCCACATACCTGGCAAAGCCCGGGTATGGGGGACAACGAGATGCCGCTAGCGCCAAGCGGAGCATCACTTATTCATCCCGCTCGACTTCAAGTTGCTGCAGGCTCAGCAACGATATCGACGTCCCATACAGAGAACAGCGAGGCCTCGCAGTGTAAGAAGAGGCGTACAGAGGAGGAAGAAGAGGTTGACAACGATGACGCCACATCGACGTACTCCCTTAATGACATGACACAGATGGATACAGAAGCACCCAAGGAAGACGAGGGAGCTTACACGGTGGTCACCCATCACAAGAACCGGGCTACGGGGATACCGGTGGTGTTCAGACCAATCGCTGCTGAGGACTCCTGGAAGGTGAATCCAGATCGCATGGCATCTGAGATAATCTCTGCTATCAATGAGAAGGTGACATCATCAAAAATCAACAGAGGTGGAAGTTTTTGTGTTGGAGTAGGGTCTTTGTACCTGGCAAACAAGTTGCTGCTGATCAAGAGTCTGGCTGGATTGCTTGTACATGTGATGATGTCTCAGGCTTACATGAAGACCCTAGCAAAGAGATGTTCCACTTGAATACACCGATTATGACCGACTGGAATATCTTAAAGATGTTGAAGTAATCTCAGTCCCACGACAAAAGAGAGGGCCAAGAAAGGAAGATGGAAGTGTCACAATGCAGCCCATACGTAATGTAATACTGCAGTTTAGCCATGACATGCCATTTTCAAAAAGAGTTGCTCTCGGCTTTACGGTTCACACTGTCGAAGAATACATCGAGCCGGCTGTAAGGTGCTAAAACTGCCAGAGATATGGGCATATGACTAAGACTTGCAGGGGAAGGTATGTGCGGGCGCACATCATTAAAATGAATGCACCTCGAAGCGTCAACCTATAAGTGTGCCAACTGGGCTGGACCACATCCGGCGTCGTTTTCAGGCTGCTCTCGAAACCGTTTAGCATCGGCTGCACAAAGAGAGGAAATTGTAAAAGGGTACTATAAGATACAAAGAGGTCCAGCGCCCAATGCGGATATCGTCGAAATGTTCCTGCGGCACAAATAAATGCAAAACAGTGGCGCCACGACTCTTACTCAGAAGTATTGAAGCACTCAGCACCAAAAGATCTCGTTGGAAAAGAAGTCCGGGCCCAAGAACAGGCTGAAGTGGAACCTTCTGCCGGGCCAGACACAGCCAAGGAGCCACTGACTACCAAAGGAAAGGGTCACAGGATGCAGCTTGCTGAGGAAAAATTTTTCAAGAAATGCGATCTCAGCGGAGACAACCGGAAACGAGCAAGTCATTTTGCCAATAATCTTCGCGGCTCTTGAAGCAATTCTACGATCCCTGCCACAAGCAGGCTCTTTGACAGAAGTGAAATTGCTGCTGGATGTTGAGCATCTTATCTCGTAGTAATCATGGCTACCGGATTATCTAACTGGTACAAAACAAGTGCAATATTCTAGTGGAACTGCAACCGTTTGCAGAATAAGAGTGGAGATTTTCGGAAATTTGTCGCTCAGCACGGGTTTTCGATTTTGTGTATTTCTGAAACAAGAGTATCCACTAACTTTCGCTTGTCCAATTATGTGGTGTACCAAGCAGAACGTCCTGCTGCAAAAAGCAGAGTGATGTTGTGTATGAGACGCGATATTTCATCGACATTTGTGGCTACTTCAAAAACAGATGCGCCGGAATTCGTTAGATGCAAGGTGAAGTTTGGTAACGTTACTGTAACTGTAGTTAGTGTATACGTGCACCCTCAAGCAAACGTTTCATATGCAGAGTTGGCTGCAGTGTGTAGATCTGATCATGATCCCATAATTATATGTGGTGATTTTAACGCACACCATGGATTGTGGGGTAGTGAGCGTTTTAATGTAAGGAAATCTGCTATAGTAAAAATATGCAAAGACCATGGTTACGCTATACTAAATGATGGTTCTCCGACGTTTCTACGGC